AAGGGGGCGGGGCGAGTGTCTGAGGATTTCATCGAAGGATGGTCTGGTGGTTCCTCGGTTATCGCTCCTCCGTTATCGCTCCTCGCTCCTCGACCCTCGGTCCTCCGGCAAAAATAAGGCCACTTGGACGCTACTCAAGATGGCGCAGACAAATCAACTTCCGGTGAGACCGAGACCGAAGAGCGAGGAAATGAAAAATAAGAGAAGTGAAACGCAGCCTATAGAGTGGCGAAGTCCCTCCCTTTCCGGGGGAGCTCCATGGGACCTTATTTCGGAAAAAGTATGTATTGAAGTCAATGGAGAGAGAAAGATTATCTTTCGATCCCGTTTGAATTGTGCCATGAATTACACATATGATGTTTGTCAATTTAAAAGATCATTTTGCAAGTCAAAAAAGTAACAATGTGTCGTAAAACTGTGAAGTAACACTTGTTTTGTGTGAAACCGCTCAATGAACTACATCTCCCGTCTCGCAGACTCGCACCACACACCAAGACGGCCGTCAGGTTGGCACATTTCACTTCTTTCTTTCAGAATGAGGCGAAAAGTATTAAAAGAGGTGAAAATCACTACTCTGGGCATGTTGAGAGCTGTACATACACAAAAGGGGAGTTAGTCGGTTCCGTAAGAGCCAGCATGCGAGACCGGGATTCTGGGATATGTAGTCTTTCTAGTTGGGTATTTTTCATATTCTTATATTTCAATAGTTTTTAGACAAACTGTGACATTTTTGACATGAAAATTATTTTTTAAGATTGACAAACATCATACAGTCCTTAAACGCAACCGAGTTCCCGGTAGTTGTTAAGTGGGTCAGTTGCGAAAGAACACAAAAACCAACATACATATAATGTTTTATTTTAAAAGAGTTTCACATATAACAGAATTTCTGAGGATAAGCAGATTGTTTCCAGTGACTGCATGACATCTGAACAGCTGTGACCACACTCACAGATGGAAACCTGGAAAGGTAGTTTCTGTGTGAAACTAAATCAAACTGAAAGATTTATAAAATGTCTACTTCACTATGTCTATAAAAGCGTCTTTGAGCACCTGTAAAAGCGCTAACTAATTAAAATCTATTATTATTATCACTTTTAAAAATCCATAACAAATTGACAATAATTGATCTGCTGGGAAACAACCATCAAATTGTTTAATTAAAAGTTGAAAAGTACTTTTTTCAGTCAATTTCTTGAGAGAGATTATCTTTACCAGTCAAGTTTAGTAATTTGATGAGCGAAGACTGAACAATCTCACTGGTGGTGCATTCAGGGACTCTCCAACGACTGACATTTCAGTATTTGTTTTACTTTTACACAATGACAACTGTGCAAACGCTACTCTCGTCTGAAAAAGAAACTTTAGATGTAGTAGAAAGTTCTAAAATGACAATAGCAGATATCAGTTTTCAAGGTTGAAATTAAACGTACACTGCTTTGCAACTTCAGACCTTGAATGTTCAGATGTCCCACAATCATTGAATACCCCAAACACATTTCCCAATAGAGGAAAACGTAACATTGACAGTGGAACAAATGTGTGTGTGATGCAAGAGATGAAGCCAGTCCTTCATCCACCATGATGAACAAACCGCTGCGGCGCCACCTGCAGGCGGAGACGCTTCATTACAGTCTTTTGAATCTTTGGCCGTTTCTCAATGTCGAGTAAAGCTGCTGCAGAGCCACTATTTCAAGTACACTACGTCATCAAGTGGCGCCGAAGGACTGTTTAAATGCCCAGCATTCGGCCCCACTCGATGACATAGTATACTTGAAATAGTGGCTCTGCAGCAGCTTTACTCGACATTGAGAAACGGCCTTTGTATTCCCGTCCAGCTGCTCGTCGTTCTTCTTCAGGTGTTTTAGTGTCCCTGAAAGCTTTGGCTCTGCAGCTCTCGAGGGGGCAGCTTCCTGCGGTCTTTCCCGGCGTTCCTCTTCCTTTTCTTGCTCAGGAAGTTGTCCAGTTTTCCGGTCTTCTTCAGCTCCTGGTATTTCTCAGCCAGCTGCAGCTTCTTCTTCTCAGCTGGAGCAGAACAACAAAGAGGAGTTTCAGTAAATGAAGCATCCACTAATCCAACACTTGTTACGCTCAAAGATATTAGTAATTCATCAAATATCCAAGGCTATATTATTATTATTATTATGTTGATTATATGTATTTATTTGAAAGATTTCCATACTTCTATTTCTAATGCTCGGAGTCACTGAGGTCATTTTGTTTAACATTCTTCCTATTTATAATATTTTATTTAACAAAAACAAGTTTTAGAATGGCTAAATATTTGGTATTTACTGCAAACAATTTTACCGTTATTCTATAAAATGTTAATATCTTTGTACATTATTTATGCCTTTTCAAAATCAGCAAGGTTTCTGCTGTTAAATCTTATTTTAGTTATTCTTTTAAGTGCAGTCTGTATATTAAAAAGGCAATGCTGCAACTAAGGACTATTTTCATTCATGTTTGTCATTTAAAACATGTTTTATTAATCTTTTAATAAATAAAATGTCTTATTTCTCAGAGCTCAAGGCCACATGTTATTTTGTCAATAACAAATACATTTATTCAGTTTATAATGATATAAAATTGGATTTTTGAGTTATAAATTACTCCAGAGCCCAGTCTGCTCTGAAATAAAAACTTCAAATACATTGTTGAATAGCAAGAAAAACCTAGTTCCAGCTGTTAGTGGTGTAAATGAAAACCTCAGGTGTAAACAGAAACAGTTATTATTGTAATGAAGTCTCTCTTACAGTTCTTGAGGAAGAACGGTCGGTCGCCCTGACTCGCTCTCTCTCTCTGCTGCCTCTTGAACTGCAGCTCTCTCTCTCTCTGCTCCTCTTGACTCTTCCTCGCTCGCTCCTGGTTCTCCTGCAGAGAGAGAGACACCGATCAAACATTTAACAACTAGAACTTTTAATTCGCTTTTATTGTGAAACACCAGCCAAGAAGAGTTGAGTTTCTTTATAGGCAAATTAACATCGATCTAATAATAGGTCAACTGAGAGGACAGTCTGACACGACTGCTTTTAAGGATGGAGTTACTGTTGTGGATGTTAATGTTGATTTGTGCAAAATGTCTTACCATAAAAAGACCTTACAATAACTTCTAATGGTGGGTTTAAACCAGCGGTGAGCGCATTTGACTTGATGAAACCCTTTGTGTGTCAGACTCACCATCCTCTTCAGGAGGAACTGCAGCTTCTCCTTCTTCTGGACGTTGGTCGGCTTCATCCTCTTCAGTTGCTTCTTGACGATCTGCAGACAAACAACACCATGACTTTGAGTCTCACGTCGTGCCGAGAAACAGGTTCTACGACAGTTTGAAGGACGTGCTCTAACAGCAGGAACTAAATCAGTGTGATCATGAAGCTCTCTCACCTCCTTCTCTCTCTGTTTGATGTCATTGATGAATTTATACGTCTCCACAAAAATCTCCGGTTTGTATTCTCCAGACAGGTCGTCAAACCGAGGGTCTCTTGACGTCTGAGTAACATAAGAAAAGGACAGAAACAGATTGATTAAAGTATTCATAATAACACAGACTGAATGCAATCTGCAGGTTTCCTATACTCACCGGTTTCTTGGCGGAGACGACCTTACGGAGGAACGGAGCTCGTCTCTTGGCTGAAATCTCCATCGGTCTGAAACACATACAAACAAACACACTCTTAAAACCAACTGGGAATAAATTAAAGGGGACCTATCATGCAAAATGCACTTTTTGATGTCTTTTATAGATAAATACGTGTCCCCGGTGTGTCGGGGAACTCACGAAGTGTCAGAAAGTAAAACCCTCTCTCTTTTCCTCCGTACCCAAATCTTTAAAAGGGGGAACAACGGAGCTGATCCAGATTTGAGTCCGATATGACATAATATCTGAAATGTGGACCCACGAGCCTATCAGAAACGTTGCTATCAGAAACAATGCCCGACTGTTTTGGACGTAATATGGTCGGTGTTTACATTAGCATCGCTAACACTCAGAGCTAACCTGTACTGGAGAGCATGTGTGTGAAGAAGCAGGAGATAAAAAGGAACTCACCTTGTGGTATAACCGGCAAGAGAGAAAGCCTTTGAGCTCCATACTGTTTCAGAAATAATCCTTGATAATCCATGATATGGCGTTTCATCACGGCAGTATTTAGCTTAGACAGTAGCTGCCGGGTCCCGCATGAGCTCAGACCCCTCCTTTTTAATTTTGTATCCATAATTTGATAAAATCAGCAGTTTAGAAACAGGAAGTGAAATAGAGGGATATGAGGCATGGCTAGAATGGGTGATCTGTTTGGTATTTTGAGCAAAACACTTAATAGACATGTTTTTTATATATTTTTATATATCTGAGACCTATGCTATTGCCTAAAAATAGCATGATAGGTGACCTTTAAAATAAAAACTAATTTAGAAACGTTTATAAAATAAAGAAAAGAGAAATATCTGCAAGAAATATAAATATACACAAGTACGCAAACAAATCCTAAATTGGGATCAATAAAGTACATCTTATCTTAACTTACAGCAAATATATATATATTACAAATGACTCAATGAGATGCGCCGTATATTAGAATTTGAAGTGAAAGTTGTGCTGTTTTAAGGAGGTACTGTTTTACAGAAATGTGCAATATATACAAAGCATTGGAAAGCTTTATAGTATTAAAATGAACAAGATGTGCGTTGCTTTGATGAATAAATGTTCCTTTAATTGTTAAAGTGTGATATCCTTCTAGCTGCTCAAACGATGCATCTATCGCTCTATTGGTGTATGGGTCAGAGTAAACACTAAATGTTGTGAAACTCTTCAGTCAGCAGCAGTTATGAGCTGTATTTAGGTTATTAAATGTGTGTGTGATGTGTGTGCAGGGCTGAAGGAGTCGACGGAGCAGCTGGTGAAGAAGAAGTTGGAGGGGAAGGAAACCCTGACGCCGTGGGAGGGCTTCCTGGAGAAGAAGAAGGAGAAGAAGAAGCAGAAGAAAACTAAGAAGAAGGAGGTGAGTCGACCTGCCGACACACAACTGGAATCAAAGACGGTTAAACACCTGAACTTTAGAAAGAACATTCATCTGTTTGCAACTCATATATATCAATATTCCAATTACTTGTATATAGACTGTATCTGTGTTATTGTGTCGCACTGTTGGAGGAGCCTGTGGCCTCAGATTTTCATCGTCATAACTACACTGTAGCTATGACGATACACGCATGACGATAAAAGCCTTGAATCTCCTTGAAAAGTTAGATACTCTCAGTATATTAGAAATAAGGCGGTTTCAATTTCCTTATTTTTAGTAACTTCCTTACCAGTTGTCATTATATGGTCTTCGCTTTTCTAGCACTGACTGAAATAATCCTCAGTCACAACTCGGCGAATCAGAAAGCAGCAAATCTGTCAGAACTACTTTAGGAACTCAACTCCTAACAACATTTCAGTTTCCCCTAATTGTGTCTATCGTAGTTTTCTTCATCAGTTTTATACATTTCCTCTCCTCAGGGCGAGGAGGAAGAGGAGGCTCTCAGTGACGACGAGCTTCCTCCAGACGTCGATCTCAACGACCCGTTCTTCGCCGAGGAGCTCAACGCTGCAGGTAATCAAAACGTATAAATTACATTAAAAAATACGTCTATCAAAAAAGGGTTTTGTAGTTTGCAGTTGATTTACAAAGAGTGTGTTTATACGTGTGTGTGTGTGTGTGTGTGTGTGTGTGTGTGTGTGTGTGTGTGTGTGTGTGTGTGTGTGTGTGTGTGTGTGTGTGTGTTAGTTATTACCTTAGGACGCTATAAGAGATGACTTCTTGAATGTATTTAGTTTCTAAGAGAAGATGGAACTTTATTGATCCGAACTAGGGACATGTGTGTGTTGCAGCAGCATAACATAAAGCAGGTGATACTTAGGACCAGAGGTGTCACAATATACCCGTACTGTTGATACAAATCATATTTAATATAAAATAAAATTGTTTTATCATGTTACTGATCCATCGGATAATAAATATATACGCTTTTGTATAGTTCAGGATTCTTACGTTCATTAAAAACCTGGAAAAGTCATGGAAATTCAAAA